AGACGCGCGAGTGACGATGAATTAAAACGAATTTTTGAATTGACCGTAACTGTATCTTATCTCTTGGAAAGAAAAGTCCTGCCGTGAAACCTTATCAGTCGCTGCAGGTGCACAATGCGGCATCAGAAATTCAAGCAACAGGACAGTACTGGAAAATGGGCATGCACGATCCCCAAAAAGCGATTTTTAAGCAATTTAGTAATCGCACGTAGTCAGCCCGAAAGACTGTGACAAAGGGCGACAAAGGGTAGTGTCACGGTGACGGATAAGTGGAAGGGCTATACCCATCTGGCTACAATCGGATACGAGCGCTACACTGTGAACCACAGCAGAAATTTTCCTGACCCTTCTACGGGTAGACATATAAAGGCAATAGAAAGCTACCGCAGCCGCCTGATAGCAAAGCAACACGAAGGCGGCCGGGTATCCGGTAGGGCGGTATGGGCGTCTGTAGACGACGTGCAAAACTGGCTCTGGCACAGCGTTAGGACAGATAACCTCTCGGATACATGCGAAATCCTCATGCAGCAGATAGCCGATGCCTATCCGGTAAGCCAAGAAATGGCGGAGGAAAGTAACTTGAGGACGGCTGTCCTGCAGCAGAGCACATAAGTGGACCACATTGGTAATATTAAAGCCGTGACAACGCAGCCCAAGGCAGCGTATGGTATCTGTACAGATAAAGCAGTCTCTGATATTGTTGCTTTTTATTTTCCTCAGAAATTAACTGTGAACTTGGAGTATATACTAGGTCTACAGGCTCAGACAGAAGTTTTTATGCATGAATATTTGGGCTGAAGTCACTCAGTCACAGCGGGTAACCGCGTAGTATCCAATTGGCTGCCGACAGGCAGCTAGTAGTATACTTTAGGGTAAGGAGACTTCATACTAACAGCACAGGTACTGTCCAAAAGCCCATACACGCGTGTTTCGTCGATATTCTGCCGCTGCATGACACAGCTGTGAGGGGTTCGGATCGCCAGTGGGTCCCCCACCATTCCCTGTCTGCTTTATAGTACATACTTGTGCTGTTAGTATGGAATCACCTTGCCATAAAGTATACTACTAGCTGCCTGTCGGCAGTTAATGAATATTACGCGAATAAAAGCTTAAAGTAAGTGTACAAATAAGCAGTCTCTGATATGTGCTCTTTTGTTTTGCCAATGTACCTTAACACAAGTAAGTTAACTAAAGAGTTATTAGATAAGGGTTAGATTGACTAAATGTTAGGTAAAAATCAGAGACTAAGCATTACGTGGGTGTTGATGTAGCCAAATGCAGGAGCGAAGACCGGAGGGGGGGGGAAGGGCGGAACCTATAAAAGGAAGGGAAGCGGAGCACATGCCTAGCTCGCAATACAGCGCAGGCAGGGACCCGAGTTATGTGGGCGAGCGAACGGCATTGTCACTAGCAAACATAAATGAGGGCTGACACAGAAGGACTAAAATTTGAAAACGGATGGACCCGTCGTAGTTGCATCAAGACAGAAAATCAGCAAAATAGCCAGTGGCAGATGAGGACGGCGTGTCGCTAGGCAAATGCAAGGTAAAGTAGTTCGTTGTCCAGACAGTGATAGATGGATGCAAAAAAATTGCAAGGCATATCCAGCAGGGGATGCGGATTTCGGACATGCTATAACTGCAAGCACAACGCACAGGTAGTCCACAGTAAGGCGACTGCCATTTAGGATACATAACCGCCGGACGCCGAAGAAAGGTAAACACAAAAGAAGGAAGATAAAGAAGGCGAAGGAAGAAAATGAATAAAGTATACCGTGCAAAGCGGAAGGCCTGGGGGACACATCAACCATGGCCAGCAAGACCCGGAAGGCATAACCAAAACCCCAAAGCTCACCTTGCCAAATAACTGCATGTAAACTTCAAATCGATCACGAGCGGAGCGCTACGCCAAACCTTGTTCCTAACCCTAACCTTAATCCCAAACTCTACTTTATTACGAACCCTAACCTCAGCCTTAATTCTGACGCTAACCCAGACGCAAACCTCAATCCTAACCTTAACACTTACCCTAGCCTTAAATGTTAACACTAGCCCTAATCCAAACGTGACCCTAATTTTGACCTCCATGCTAACACTAATTCCAACCATGATTGTAACCTTAAAGCTAACCTAACCCTAGCCTTAAATCTAACCCTAACACCAAACTCGACCATAACCGAAAAACGAACCCTGACCTAACCCCAATTCTAACCCTAACACTGACCCTGATATTAACTATAACACAGACATTAACCTCAACCTTAATCCTACCCCTAACCCTGACACTAACTTCAAATGCTAGCAATAACCCTAATGCTAGACTTAACCCTAACTACAACCATAACTGAAGGCTTAGTCGCATGCCTAAGTCTAACTCCAAACGAAATATTCGGAGGCAAACAATGTCTAGAAGCCTATGCTAAAATAGCTTAGCGCTAGCCCTAACCGTAAACCTAACCATTAACCTTAATTCTAACCCTGAACAAAACCCTAACCCTAGACGTAGCACAAACCTAACCCTAAACCTAGCACAAATCCCAGCCCAAAACGCATTCCGAAGCCGGACAATAGAATAAAACCTAAAGCTAACATTAACTCTAACGCCAAAGTCCTTTGGAGTCCTGATACGAACTCACATCCCAAAACGTCCACCAGACCGGCAAAAGCATCTTAACCTTATGTGAAACTAAAGATAAACCTAGCGATAACCCTTGTCCTAGGCCTAAGAATAAACATAAACCTAACCCTAAAGCCTAACATAAACCTGAAACTGCCCCAGGAACCTAAAGGCAAGCCAATAAGTTTACCCCAAACCCAAACATAACTCAAAAAACTAGCTGCATATTAAGAATACAATGTTTACCGCCTATTGAAATCATTCACTGTACGAAGATAATAACACGTTGAAAAACCCGTATAGCGTAATAGGTCCCTACCACGCCCACTAAGTAAATAAATATGGTGGACTTTGAACTAACTGCTAAAAAATCTCGTCTGGACTGTCAGTCTACAAAACCAGAATTGGTGGATTCCATACACCCCAGTAGATTTAGCAGGTGTCCGGACCCAGACGAGATAATATTCACAGCCACTGACCGGGGCCGCGTAGACAATGGGGTCGGAACGTGGGCTTTACTCAAGCCTTGCCTTTGTTGTCGTTGGTCTGAATGCCTCCGAAACCGTTGAGATTTTCATGATTGCGTCAGAAGAATTGCTGATTGAGAGCGAGAATATGGACCTTTTCCCGAACTACAGGTTGTTTTGCGCTAAGTTCCATGCGGGGTTAGGTTTAGGGGGTGTAGTGTTGGGATTGAAATTTGGGCATGTGAATAGGTACACTCCCTGGTGTTTTTCTGTATTGGGGTCCATATTCTCGCGTTCAGCTGAATTAGTACCGGCATTATTGGGTTAGAGCCTCAAGGACAGAAAGCGCCTACTATGCCGGGATCAGAAAACCATGCCCTCGCAATCTGGTGTGGGCTGGCGGTTTTATGGCACCTGGTTACTTGCCGGTAGATGCGCTTGCGCTCCCGTTGGTTATACGGGTCGTGAGCCTGGCTGTCCAGTCATCCTCGTTCTTCTGACGCGTCGTAGTGCTGTTGTTCATTAAAGTCCCTTTCAAGTGTTTGTTGTGGACTAGAGGGTGTGGTGGTAGGCGTAGGCGCAGGTCCGGCCTGCCAGCCACCTGTGTCCTCCGCCAACTCCGGTCTTCTTGACTTTGTCTTGACACCGGACCCAGGTGGGGAAGAGAAGGGGGTGTAGTAGGTGCTGCTCGAGTCTAACAGCATCATAAACTAATTCACGCACAAGTCGCCATGCCTGCTTCAACCTGCTGAGTAGCACACAATGGAAATCGTCGGCAAGGGCGGTCGAACTATCAAAATTGGACTAGCGTGGGCACAGTCAGTACACAGTTTAATTCATTCTGCGCCTCTGTTTACGAAGACCGTTTGGTCAGGAGACTAACATCGCTCGCACACGACCCGCTGTGTGGAAATGTAGCATGAACTTGCGCTGAGGTCGGTGCATGATTCGACTAAGTGGGATGAGATAAGTGTTCGAGTAAATCCAAAGAGAAAGCTCTTTAGTAAATAAGACGAGAAAGGAACAATCTTTAGACGCCAATAAAATGGCTTAAATTTGGCAAATCGGTTGAGTACGAAAATATGTGCCTTCCGTCCCTGCCTTAAGTTCCAAGAGGACGCCTACTTCCGTGTCCTAATTTTAACCATAACTTTAGCTCTCTCTCTCTCTCTCAACCATAACCCAAATCCCTCAGAATTTAGCAAAATGTCACCTGTAATTCGGGAGCTGGGGGACGCTCTTATTCCCGTGTCTTATCGACAAATCTAACACAAACAGCCGGGTGAAAGTTAATAATCCGAAAGAAGTACACCTTTTGCATAGCTTGTGCCAATTAAATCTAGGTAGTCTGGGGACATCAAACATCCAAGTGGGATTTCCGTTTTACTATCCAAAACTCCTCAAAATCGCAAATTTTTCAAGAGCAAAATATGCTATTCCTTCAGGTGAGAAGTAGAGTTGAATTTCCCGAGCAAAGTATTGTCAGAAATTAGGTTCTCTTCACTCCAGCGCAGAACGAATAGTTCTATAACTCGTCGCTATAGGGACATCTTGGAGAATTCCTTGAAGCGATTACAAATCAGCCCTATGACTCGGGAAGATATCTTACAGTGCAGACCGGGCAAACGAAGAGTCGTGAAGACTAGAGCAGTAATTTATGAATCCAACCGGATTGCGGATGACAAAGGCAAGGGGGAAGTTTTTAAGTATGAAACGCTCATGACCCGAAATGCCAGCCTTCAGCCCTCCCAACATGTACGCACTGTCCGAATGTTTCGCATGTGGATCGACTTCGTCAGACATATCTGGGCCCAGTGTACCAACAATTCGTAAACCCCTGCTCTAACTCCCACGGCTTCCACGATGGCGCTTACACTCACTATTGATGCTTAAAATTCCCGTGCTCCGCCGGGGTCGATGGCCGCCATTTTCCTTGCCACAACCTCCGCAGTGACGACGGCAACCATCACTCCCGTCACAAATCGAAACCTCCTCGTCGGCCCGTCAGCCGCCACCACCACCACCACCACCACCACCACCACCACCACCACCACCACCACCACCACCACCACCACCACCACCACCACCACCTCCTGCGATGCGGACTCGATCCTAACCTGTCCTCGTTGCAATTGCACATTTACCTCACGCATTTGCCCGATAGGTCACTTGCGAATCCATCACACTGCGACCAACGCCCCAGCGTCAGGAGCTGCAGCACACACCAGGCCGCATCCGACTTTACTGCTCACACTGTCCAAGCACATTCATTAAACGCATGGGCATGTTCGGCCACATGCGTATCCACAACAACGAAATTCACCGAATAATCGACACACATTGCACATCTCATACATCCACCAACTTTATCCTTCCCACCAACCAGAGCGCTCACCACTATCAGCACCACAACGGCAGCTGACCCAATCCGTCATTGCACGTTCACCCCACGCATCGGCCTGGTAGGTAACTTGCAAATCCATCGCACAGAAACTGGCGACCCAGTGCCTGGAGCACAGATACACCAATCGCCATCGCTTCAACTGACCGCACTGCCTCGCACATTCAGCCATCGCATGGGCCTAGGTGACCACATTCACAGCCACAAAAACCCGCGACAGAACATCACCGACAACACCCTGCCACAAAATCTGCCCTCACCAGTTCCTACGACACCCCTGGCTACATCCATCATCTCACAACGCAATCACGTAATAGGGAAGTGTGTCAGCCACTACACCCACTTCCGGCTCGAAAAGCTGCCTGGTATCTGGGAGTAGAAAGAGAAGCTGAGGTCGATGATCTTAGCGTATATTCCTCACTATAAACAGCCTGGCGCACTTAAATCTATCACGGTACGCTAAATGCCGTGGCTTGGAAGGTTGCTGACTGACGGGATAAATCGGACCTTGCAGTCAGTCCAGTGTGTGTTGTGTGGAACGGCGGACTGGTGGACTAACAGTCAAGCTGCAATGACCCCCTCTTATAGTAACCTCTATGCCCTCTCACCTAGTGGGATCCGAGCTGCCCTTTCTCCTCTCTTGTGTATTACCTTCCAGCTAGTGCATATTGTGGACCGGAGGGGCGCGTGATAGTACACCAAGGTGCGGTTTTTCGGCGTGCCAGCCACTTACGCCATCTCCCGCCTCCGTTCCTCTTAACTCTCTCACGACACTGAATCCAAATAGGAAAGGAGGGGAAAGTGCGGTAGATGCCGCGCATGTTCACTATCACTATAAGAGAAATCAAAAGCATGTCACTGTCTCTGTCCTCATCCTGTTGCGGTGGATATCGTCGGTAACGACGATCAAACTCTCGTGCGTGTGACGACAGTGGTCTTAACTGGTTTAAAAAATTAGAGAATTATCCCCGATTCTAAAGGCCACGAACATAAAGTGAACTTGAAGCAATATTTCCCGAAATGAATTTGAAGCCTGCATGGACAGCAGAATTTGACTTGCGCAATCCTTCTGCTGTTTACTTCCTCATCCTCTTTCCTATGTTGCGTTTTCAAGTTACCATTGAATTTATTAGACTGCGTTCAGTCTACGATGACCTTGCTGTTTCATGTTGATTTTCTCTGTGGAAGTTCAAGCCTGTGTACCTTTATCACTTGTTATTTGTGTTATGCAAACCGTCATTGCAAGTTCACCTCATGCACCGACATGGTCGGTAACTTGTGAATTTCAGCCAACATTTCGTGAGCTCCTTCACTCACTGTATCTAATCTTATGACCACAAAGTTTTCTTGGAAATCCCACCTCACTGACAGCGGGATTTATTTCCGCGACCTGTTCTGACTGTCGGATGGAAACGAGTATTTCCACCTAACCACAGACATGAGGGTTGATGATCTCTGCGGTTTGTCACTTGGTGACCAACATCTAATGATCAAGAACTGTCATTAACGGGGGCCTGGGCCTTGCACCGGATATTTCACGGTAATTTGCCCATACCAATCAGTGATATCATAACGCCAGTCTGCAGGTTCGGGGTTGAAGATTGCAGTATTTGCTCCTCGAACGACGCTGTCACCGTGAATTTTATGTTGGTGGACGTTGATTGGCGTCTAATGTAACTAAGTACTTTTAATCTCAGTCGAGATTAGGCGGTTCCGTATTTTGAGGGTGAGAATATCATTCGATGATAAACGGATTTTTGGTAGAGGGGTGCTGAGCGATCGCGTTAGCGGACATGCTCGTCCCATTGTGCCTTGAAGCTCAGTCTATAGCCCGCCAGCGGCCCCACAGTGGCTGGCATTCTAGGCAGAATAACATTACCGACAAGCAAAAGGGGAGTTTGGAATGGCCACTTCCGACTTATTGGCCGTCACCAGCCAGCTACATCTGAGCCCAGGATTTGGGTTAGAAAGATTTGGTCATTTTAGTGCTCTTTTCTCTGCCGGCAGTGCTTATTAACCTCTCCTCAAGTAATTCTACTTCTGGGCGTTATCATAAAATATCAGTCCTGTCTATATCCTAAGAACCTAATTCCTCAGGAATCCGAACACGAGAAATACGTCCGGCTTGCGACCTCATTGTTACTATTTGACAACCGCTGATGCGAAATCATCCTGGCCACTTTAGCAGAGAATGAGACCACACAATTCTTACCTACTTCATTTTCGCAATAATTACTTTCCCCTTGGAACGCGCTCTCAGCACTTGATTCATCATCGCTCCTGACGAAATCTATCTGACCGCAATGGTTCCAAACCGCGTCGTAGCTCCAAATCGGGAAAAGCGGAACAAAATGACCTCTGAACAAACGCCCACGTTCGCCATTAATTTAAATGCAGACAAAGTTTGGCGTGCTTATATTTGTGTAGAATATGCGACTGACACTGAATACGGAAAGGTGGGGTAGACGCGCAAACAGCCGAGCAGTGGACATGAATTCGCAAGCGAAAACTGACGGCCCGAAAACGGTGCTGGTGTTGTTTATATTTGGAAGAGCGTTCTCTCTGGCTCCGTGACCGGGAGCGCATATAAATGTTCTCGATGCGGTGAAGTCAATAGGTCTCCAAGTATGAAGTCGACACTCTTCACCATTGCGCTGGTCACGCTTCTCTGTGCTGTTCAAGCAACTTTCGCGAAGGTGGCCGAACAACCCCTAACCGAACTGCCTCTGGATACAATTCAACTGGTAGGACGGAGTATTTGTCATCTGCCCGTTAAGTTTTGCTCCTTTATAAAAAACTCTTGACTGACTACCTGGCACTAAATACTCGTCTTGTGCCTATTTTTAAAAAGGAATCAGGATTTATCGGAATGCATTCAAAGTAAGCGACGCCCTACATTAGGTGGGCTAACTTATGAAATGTCAACCGAAATTTCCAAATGCATTCGCGTCTCGAAAAGATTGATTAAGTATGGTTGTAAAATTCATCATCATACAGCATAATTCTATGGTGATCCAGTTACCGCAGGGAGCCTACTTTCAAATGGACTTATTTTCGACTGCATGTAAGAAGTATACTCTGCAAAAAATGGCCTCTTAAGTAGCATGCAATTTTCTCATTGATTTTCGATGCCTAAAAAGTGCAATTATAGTTCCTGAAAAAATGTATAAAAATATTCCTTTTTTGCTTATTCGGTAGGAAATAACGTCGTCTTTCAATTTTATACTCGAAGGAGGAGTATTATTCGGTTTTAAAAAGTTTCTAATTGTGAGATTGTTTAATACCGTAAAGTGGCCATTCAAAAAGCTTCATGTATCTGCATTTAGCAATGTGGTCTGTAAATTTAGCAATATTTCTCAAATCCACCGTTTAATTTTATGAACCCAGTATGATCTCCTCTTAATACTGTAGAAAAATGTGTGGTTTTCTGTACACGAAAAAAATATGGCTTGTAGTTTTGGAACCCTAGATGCAAGTATAACAACAGGTCGGGTTCAAAATTATTCGGGAACTGGAAATAAGTCTTAAAACCGAATTATACTCTTCTTTCGAGTATAAAATTAAGAAAAAGACGTGATTTTCTAACGAATAGATAAAATAATGGATATTTTTGTCCAGTTCTTTCATGAAATATAATTGAACTCTTAAGGGCTTCGAATATTAATGAGAAAATTGCGTTCTACTTAAGTAGTCATTTTTGCTGAAGGCAGTTTTTACATGAACTCGGAAATAAGTTCATTCGAAAGCCGGCACCCTGCGATAATTGGGTCATTACAGAATTATACTGAACAATAATTAGTTTATAACCCTACCTAATTAATCTTTTCGAAACGGAAACGCATTTGGAAATTTCGGTTGACATTTCATGAGTTAGCCCACCTACTGTAAGTGAGGTCGCTGCACTGAAAAGCGCGAAGTATCAGATTAAGTCATGAATTTTAGCTTACTGATAGTGACAGGTAACTTTAATAGTCACCTGTGTATGCCAAACTCCAGATACTCCACTGTCTAATTCATGTATATACATAATAACATGAAGGTCACCACTATCGAGATACTTAACTCTCCTCCTGTGCGCCTGTGGCTGGCGTCAAGCCAGACTAAAAATCGGATGCTTCAGCTGTAAAAGGCACCAATAAATCCTATGTGTCTTACAGACCGCAGTGTAAGGGTTTTAAACTGAAAGAAACAATTTAGTTCCACTAGTTAAGTGACATTGACACCTTAGCGGAAACGTTTTGATTGCTTATTTGCATGCGTTTGCTCCAAGGATATTCAATGTTTGTACAAAGGAAAGCATAGCTCTTTAAGAAGAGGGAATTCAAGTCGTTTCTCTTGATCCTGCCGAGGATTATTGCAACTTTGTAAATTATTTTGCTTAGACAGATGGACTAGTTCATATTTTGGAATAGATAAATACTTGCCCTCTACTTATTAATAGTGAAAAACTTTTTTGCTCATTGTGAATGTTTAAAAGAGCGCTCTATGTGCAATCTTGGAAGCAAATTCGTAAATCATTTCATATTTCTATGAAGTATATTGCTATCACTTACCTCTTTAAATACTAACCATGGTCCATGTTGAACACTTTAAATGTAACATGATATAGCTAACTGGAAAAAAACTACGTGAACAATCCTGCGATCATAGGAAAAATTCATCTAACTACAAACTTCTCACAACAGAACACTTCATTATTTTGAGAATTTGCTTCAGGTAAAACGTGTTTTTGGACGGAATTCCTATAAGTTGCAATCAATAAAAAGCACTCGTTACTGAAGTTGGTGTTTTTTCTATATCAAAATGCGGTTTGCAGTGACGGCTGCAAAGTCAGTTAGCTAAAAATATGCAAGTTGCCGTGCTTGAGTCAATTTATACTAATTTTTATTCAATTCGTATCGTAAATTCCCTTGAATAATGCTGGGTACTTAAGAGAATGGGGAGTTCCTGTTCTACAGATGGCCTTTCTTTAAGTTCCAGGGGGTTAAGCGCCAGAGTTAATGTCCGGGCTAGGGGGGTTAGGGTTAGATTTATGGGAATAAATTTGAGCTTTTGAACCAGATATCCCACCTCGTAATTCAGCGAGACCACCTGCGGTACGAAGGGGAGGGGGTAATTTTTCTGCGTCCGACCTGAACAATGTACTTTAAAGTATCCTTGCAGTTATGGCATCTAGTTTAGCCATGAAATCTGCCTTTGGTCGACTAAAACTTCCGTCCGGAACCTGTCATGTCCCCTCTACAGATCCCTGATCGTAGTCGAAAGGAAAGTCGGGAGGCTTTGCGTGCTCTGGGTGCTGAAAGTGAGACCGATCTGCAAAGACATACCTTCGCCTACAACGCCGACCTCTACTCAAATTGGACGGAGTGAGGCAACTGTTCACGCTACTCCTGCAAGCAGCTTCGTTTCCGTCAGTGTGTCGACGACTCCTTCACCAAACGCGTCGCTAACCCTCGAAGACGGAACTTCTGTCCATTCAAATACATCAGGGAGGAAAGAAGGTGCCCAGATGCATCAGAGTGCCTTGAAAACGGTGTGTGGAATATTATCATTTTTAAACTTTTTAACCACCTGCTTGCGTGATTTCTGCCGGTATGTAAAAAACTGCTGGTTGTCAGTTATTTTACGGCATCGTTACTAATCAGGGTGGACGAAACGGACACTTTTTTCCGATCTGTCTGTAGCGCCATCTTGTTTAGTCGGTTTAAGTCAGTTTATTAAGGGAATGAGGCCTTCGCCCTTGAGCTCCCTACTCATATCAATAAACAGAAGTAGAATCAATTGTTACATCAGTAAATCTGAAAGTTCAGAAGTTAACGGTAAGTGTGAGTCAGGTGCGAACTGCCGCCACTAACACAACCGTGATTATATGTACAGTAGTGTCTCAGTAAATGAGCGTCTGATCTGCACTTAAAGGATTCAACAGTTTTGGAAAGGACCACCGCATCAGGGTGCCCATTCCATGCTGCAATGGCCCCCATCGTGAGGGCGTTCCATCGGACGTCCGTATGAGCCAGCTTTCTCCGTAGTTTAAAGGGTTGGCCATGCAGACGACCAGTCCCCGCCAATGTGAGGGATCCGTCAAAATCTAGGGCACATTCACGGCCTCTGACAGTCTTGGAGGTTTGAATGAGTTTGCCGCGAAATTGCCTGTAATTGAGAGGAAACAGATCTAGTTCGGCCAGCCTGGTTTTCTAAGGCAGATTCTTGACCATCTTCGTAGCTATCGTCTGTACTCTCTCCATGTTGCAAATTTGCGTGCCTCTTTTTTTAAATATTCTGATTTTCCAGCTTCTGCTTTAAGGGAGTGTTGTTGATTAAGTCATCAATGTTTCATCCTGCTAAATTGTTATAAGTAGCATAATATTCTCAAGTTGCTGAGTTGCAGATTCCAAAAGGTGTAAATTCAGAATTTAAAGTTATTTTCACTTCCTTTTCACCCAACCCGAATGTTAGGCTGTCCAATGGCCCGATGTTCTGCATATCGATCCAATGAGGATTTCTGTTATAAGCATGCTTAAAGGAATTTTAAAATTTTGTAAGCGGAATGACAAATAAGTAAATAGTCGTATAATCCCAGACTCCACAGAAGACTAGCAATGCAGTTACAGCATTCACTTTAATTATCTGCCAACGGTTCTCCCGCGAACGATCTGCAATGAAGACCGTGGATGGCCACACACTGTTGATTCAGACATCATCGGAGACATGCGTTTTCATGAAGAATGCACGTAAATGGTGAGGAAAGGTCTTCACCTTACACGGGGGGACACTTTGTTGCTTCTTGGTGATCACTGCTGCCTAACATAACTCCCATCGAAAACCGAATTCGGTGGACGCTGGCATTACGAATAAGTGAATAAGTGAATAGACTGGCCTAAGAGAAAAGCACCACCATAATAAAAGGACTTCCAAACAAGTGTAAACAGTTGATCTCGCAAGAGCATACCTTAGTAGTAACGCGTTTTTTAGTGGTTTAGTAACTCACAACCAACCACCGAGAGTCAGTTTTTAGGAATATGTAGTTTCTAGTGCGGGAGAAAGGGCACCACCATGGTCGCGGTTTTTTGCCTTGTTTAAGATTCGGAATTAATTTATTTTTTCTGTAATGTGCGTCAGTTTGTGATGACCAGTCGATGCCTGTTTGTAATGCAGGGTCCGTCAAGCGTGCACCCGTTGCAGCTATGTCAATCCGCTATTATGTTTATTCGAATTTAATATTAGCTGGTCCTGCCCGAACGTTTTCCAACACCAGTGACCGACCTCATTAAATGCTAGTCGAAGCTCTGAAATGTGTTTTCGATCAGGGAGGGTTACTTATGTGGGACTGCTCGTCTTTTCGGCAGCTTGCAAAAACCAGACTCGGCAAAAATGATAGCTTAATTGATTTATACAAAATGGATACAGCTTCCTCGCATATTGTGCTGGAAGAAAATATATCTTTTGATTTTTTAAAAAAGGTTTTTTGGTTCTCGAATGATTTTGAGCTCAATCTGCACTGCACCTGCGCTAAGGGTCCCGAGTCTATAAACTGTATGCTTTTTATGTTAAAAAATCCTTTTAAATCACTAAGAAGATATAATACAGGGCTCATAAAATGTTGCAATGGATGATGCTCATGTTCTATAATTTAGGAGGAACATTATTAAACAGAGAATTACAATAATATTTGAATGGAAATTGCACGGTCTTATAAATTTCATAAGAAAAATTTTTTAAAAACAAAAGACAATTTCTCCAAGCAAGAAAAGTTGAAAAAAACTTTGGTTCCCACTTAGCGGTTACAAAAAGGGACATTTTAGTGAATTTCTTCGAAAAATGTATTTGCATTTTTAAGGGCATCGGAAATCAACAAAAGTGCATATCAGTTAAGTGACCGTTTTTGCCGAGTGCAGTTATTACAGGAGGTCAAAAAGATGTACATTTGATGGCCAACGTCCAGGCGTATTCTGATTAACGTGGGATTTTGCCGTGAGAAAATCAATACTACAGTCCCACATAAGTAATCCTTCGATTTCAGAATTTCGGGTAATATTTTATGAGCTCAGCCACTAACGACACATGCTGTTATCTGATGTGATTCTACTTCCAGGTTGGTCGAGTCATGTCTCATGTACAGCAGTAGCTTGTAATTTGGTGTCTCGTCTTCATAACAATAACAGTATCCTCGCGCTTTGCCTTTCCCTCTCTTCTACAGCCGGACCGTCGGAGACGCTTCGACGTCTTTCTCTAACTTGTGGTATTCGCCCCGCGACGGAAGCAGCACAATCCGGCGGTCCTGCTGCCAAAAGAAACATGTGGCCATGGCATGTGAGTGAGACGTCCTTTTCCACTCCTTTTTGACCGGAAACTTTCGAGTGACCACACATGCACTGATGGCTATCTCCACATCATGCCATATCTGACTCCTATGCATATATTTTTTGGTTCCAAGTTCGGTCCCGCCATGACGGAATAGATAAAGGAAGACCCAGGCCTGTCAGGTGAATCATTCATTATTTTTAATCAGGGAATTCCTCTTTGAAATCATAATGAATCGCTCAGGATATCACAAGACAATTTAACCACTGTAACCTAAAATGACTAACAGAAGGTGAAGTAGTGTTTCCTATAAAAGCATTTTTTCTGGATACTGTACATTTCATCTCTTTGCCATCTCTTTTCATTTTGTTGTCATACGATGATTAGACTGTAGGGAAAATGGAAATTTACAAGTGGCTAGGATGCGGTTTAATGTCCTTATCCATTGCTAGATAACTAATTGCAGTCACCATATCATTAAGAATCTTTAGCGTTGTAGAATCACAGTAGAAGGGGCACAATCAACTGCTAGTTTAGTCGGGAAGGATAAATCACAGATACCTGCAAATTACTTTGTTGACCTCTGAGGAAAGTACCCTGTAATGTAGCGTTATTTGGCCGCCACAGGTGAGGTTATACAAAGCAAAGCTCCCTAAAGACGAGGTGGAAAAAGATGATGCAGAGAATAACGACGGTGACGACGATGACATTGCTGATGACGACGAGGAGTCATCAAGTCAGCCCGTCGAATCTGAGCAACAGCTGGTGTGCGGAGGTAGCCTACTCTCGCCATCTTGGATCGTGACAAGCGCTCACTGTCTCCGCCCAATTCTTCAATCAAAGGCTGTGCCCCTTGGAGTACCCTTTAATATGTCTGGTATGGTTGCTCGCGTTGGTGAACAGCCTCGCGCACAGAAGGGGTCTCCCGGAAGCGAGTACAGAGTTGAATCAGCAGTCATTCATCCCGACTGGTACCCTCGATTCCACGGCCAGAGTGGTTTTGATATCGCCCTGTTGAAGCTTGCAGTTCCGGTGTCTCCAGGTGAACAAGTTGGCCAAGATACTTTTAATTCTAAAATACTGCGCTGACCACTGTCAAAAAGGTCAACCCCTTAGGAGTGAGGTAATCGCAAAATCACAAAAACAAAATTAATGCAGAGTTCAAAATGATCACAATTAAAATCCTGTTAGAACCTGTATTCTCATCCGCCTTTACTATTCCGTGTAACTTTCGTTTTAAAATTGACCTCAAGTCATTGTGTAAAAATATGGCCGTCCCGTTTTGCCTTGGAATCTTAGCAGACAAGCACACGTTGACGAGAAAACAATACTGGAGGCGTTTTAACTACAAAACAGGCCTGGGCAATAGGATAATTTATGGTCTATTAGTTATTTTAAGTCGGTGATGGATCCCACGTTCCGCGTTCAAATTTCAGGCGGTTTTGTTTGATGACGGTCAGTAAACCAGAAGAGACTACCTCAATTTCCATTGCCTTAGTCAGTGTTGCTTCTGGTATGATTTTGAGTCGTGATGTCCCTGCCTATGAGGACTCTAAATTAAAATCCAAGGCGCAAAGTTCCAGGCATGTGCCGTAACGTACTGTTACCGATATATATATATATATATTTATATGAATAACTGATGTGGTGTGCATTCCGAGGTGATATAATGAGAAAGTGAAGGCTCTTCGGAATATTGAGTTGTACTCGTAAATTTTCAAGTCGGTGACACCGACCCGTCGTCAGACGAAATGAACAGAGGGAAAGTGAAGTCGGCAGACTAGGTCGGCTGGTGCGACAGGACAGACAACGACAAACAGACAGCTGATGGGTGAGAGGGGTGGGCACCTAGTTGTGGCACGCCGTGGGGCAGGGGAAGGGAAGGAAGAACCGTTAGGGCTCTCAGTGTTGGAGGCGGTGAAAACGTGGGGGGGGGAGGGGGGGTGGGGATTGCGAGTCAGTGGGAATGCGGGTGGCTGGTCGCACCAGCCGACCTAGTCTGCCGACTTCACTTTCCCTCTGTTCATTTCGTCTGACGACGGGTCGGTGTCACCGACTTGAAAATTTACGAGTACAACTCAATATTCCGAAGAGCCTTCACTTTCTCATATATTTATATATTTATGTATATATGAAAAATGAGGTTCTTCGGACTCATTATATCGTCTCGGAATGCAAAACCACTTCTACTCTATATATAGATATACATATATTTCAAGTGAATAATTTCAAAAAATTATTCAGTGCAAGACTTGAAGTTAAATCTCCGGGACATGACTTTGTAGTGTCACAGGCGAAATTTCAATGAACGTTCGAGTAGAAGACAATCAACTACTGTAGAATTGCAACATAATGCCCATTCAAAAAACCAGTACTACTACGAGTAGTATGAAATCCGTATGGTAAAGGTATTATAGCATACTCCGACATAGATTCTTGCTAAAAGCCCAGACCTGTATTTCGCGTGTTTCACGAGTAATTTCTGATGTCATTTGCTTGATTATTCTCCGGAGTTCATATATCAGAAACCGCTTACCGAACGCTAAAAGTCCCATTGAAGAGCCGAACCCATCGCAGCTGTGTCACGCAGCAGCAGTATATCGGCAAAACACGTGTCTGGGCTTTTAGTAAGTATCTGTGTCGGGAGTGCGGCAAAATACCATTTGCATATATATATATATATATATATATATATATATATATATATAAGAAGAAGAGACGATCTTGGGAACCATAGTTGTATTGCCCTGACGTTTCAAAAGCAAACAAGCTTTCGTCGTCCGAGGTGAGCGCTGTACCACGCCTAACAGTATTGATAAGTGGTGATGGTCTCCTTGCAACGGGTTTAATTCCTGTCCGAGGGCCGGCGTTCAGGCGCTAGCCGTCATCACACGTATTTGCATGAACCGTAATTCTCGTCCTAGGCTGGCAATCTTCTTTACGACCCTGAGACTGCTTGTGTTCTCATCTGCCGTATAAGTAGGCGCCGCGACTATGGTGACGATCACATCCTCGCCAGATCCAAGCTGAAGTGCAGCTGCGTTTGTGTCCCTCATAGACCGGGCCGTAGTAGGGTTTCTGTCTCCTCGTAGCCCGTATTTGCTCGCCTGTTCTCTGAGCTGCGTCCGGAGGGCCTGGCAGGCTTCCAGAAGTGCTACACAGCGGTTGATGGAGTTCGTGACGGTGTGCCAGGTCTCGGTTGTTTCTCTGGCCACACGGTCATTTCCTCGGCCAAAGATTTCGACATTCTGAAGGCAAATATGTGTCCAGGGTTTGGCAGTTTTCTGCAACCAGGGACAACGGGTCTATCCTCTTAACCGCCCTCATGTGTTCTCCAACACAGGTCTGCAGTCGTTTACCGGTCTCTTCGATGTAGTTCATTTGGCAGGAGCTGCAATGGATCCAAAAAATCACGTTTGTTATTTCACCGGGTGGCAGAGGTGTCTTATGTCTCATGACGAGATGTCGAATTGTTGAATCTGGCCGATGGGCAATGCCAATCCCCAGTAGCATTAGGAGACGGGAGACTGCCTCAGAGACGCAATCAATGCAAGAAAGCGCTACCCAGATTTTTGGCCGGTCTGTCGCTGGACTTTTACTCGGCACAGGCTGCCTGTTGCGTCCTTTGAGGTTGCGAGTATGCCTGTTTGCCACGAGGAGGCGCTGGAGGTAGCGTAGTTCCGCCATTTTGTCGTCTGGCTCGCTGCAGTGTGTTTCTGCCCTTGTCAGTTTTGTTTCCGATAAACCAGTACGTCCGTTAACGGTAGCCGGTTTTTGCTTACCGTCTGAATCGTGAACTGGATATCAGGCGCAACAGAATGCATGACATTGGGAAATTCTTTAACCATTTCCCGCTTGATGATGACAAAGGTGTCATCGACATATCGAGTCCGAAAGTTTTCCTATAGGTCTCGAAGACTGCGGTCTCTACGTTTTAGAGAACTGCTTCTGCGACTAAACCTGAAAGCGGTGATCCCAGCGGCGTCCCCTTGATCTGTTCGTACACCCTCCCTTCGAAGGTAAAAAACGTCCTCAGGCAGAATTTTAGAAGTTGAATGAGATGCCCCTGTTTCCCACTTTCGCCTGTCACGTCGTACTTGCTTAAGAGTAGTTTGCTAACCGTTTCGACTGTTAGGCGTTGCGGGATCGACGTGAAGGGAGAGGTGACGTCGGATGACACCATGATCTCTTCTTCGCTGAGTCGCAAGCCTTTGAACAGCTCTAGTAACTGAGTTGCTGAACAGACGGCCCTGCTTGCGTCCGAGGTGAGGGACCTTAGGTTGCGGAATAGCAATTTTGCCAGATTTTAGGATGGTGCACCGTGCGATGACACGATTGGTCCACTCATCCGGCTGGTGAGACAACGGACGGTCGCGGTAACACGAACGGACCCGATGAAGGTGCCAGCGTCACTGCCATTTATCCGGCAGGTGAGAACACAGGCGGTCGCGGAGTCGCAAAGAAAGTTGCCAGCCTAGGATGAGAATTAATGTCCACGCAAACACGTGCGATGACGACTAGCGTCCGAACGCCGCCCCGCCCCGACGAGAGGTAGACCCCTTGCAAGGAGATCACCACCACCACCACCACCACCACCACCACCTATAAATACTGTGAGGCGCGGTGCTATACTCACCTCCGACGATGAAAGCTTGTTTGTTTTTGAAACGTCGAAGCAATACAACCATGGTTTACCAGATCGTCTCTTCCCCTCATTTATGTCCGGGGACGCGCATCTTCGCTTCTATCAGCAATACATATATATATGAGTGATAGGGTGCGCTCACCGATCGTTCATACGGAACTCACTCGTTCCGTTGTGCCTTAAGGGGCTCTCCCTCGAGCCCAACCAGCAGCCGCACAGCGGCGCATGATATATAGGCAGAATGATGTAACCGACAAAGACAAGGGAGACTGGAATGGCCATTTCTGGCTTGTTAGCCGTCGTCAGCCAGTTATAACCAACCCCGAAGTGTGGGACACCCGAGGCTCGAACTCGTGACCTGTTGGTTTAGAAGTCCACGCCTCTACCCACTGGGCCACGAGCCCGTTGTCCTGTCGGTTTCCGGTCGGGAATATACAATGGTAGGGAGGCTCACCGATCGTTCATACGGAACTCACTCGTTCCGTTGTGCCTTTCGGGGTCTCTCTCGAGCCCAAACCAACTTCGAGTTCTAAACCAACAGGTCGCGAGTTCGAGCCTCGGGTGTTCCACACTTCGGGGTTGGGTATGACTGGCTGACGACGGCTAACAAGCCAGAAATGGCCATTCCAGTCTCCCTTGTCTTTGTCGGTTACATCATTCTGCCTATATATCATGCGCCACTGTGCGGATGCTGGTTGGGCTCGAGAGAGAGTCCATAAGGCACAACGGAACGAGTGAGTTCCGTATGAACGATCGGGGGACGACATTTGAACGTTGGTGGCTATCGCCCGCATTCGCGTTGACCTTAGTTGTCGTACTGGGTTGCTATTTTTGATTGCATCCTTCTGACCGCGTTTCTCTTCGTCTGCCGGTGTGGTGGTTGAGGCAACAGTATTGATGACTGCGCCTTCGTCGGGTTCGATTCGCGGTGTATCTACCTGTAGGTCCGTCGTAGGTTCTCCCGTGTTTGGATTCGCGTCCGGCCTGACTTCGCGCTTGCTATTTATTTCGTTGAACTGCGGCTGGAGGGCTTGATAGGCTGTCTCAAGGGCGACACAACGGTTTATTGAGATTGTCTCCGTGTGCCAGGCCTCGATTGCTTCCCTGGCTACGCGTTCATTGTCTCGACCCAGAATTTTGGCGTTTTGGATGGCGAAAGTGTGTCCACAGTCCGCGCAATGTTCCGCCACCAGAGACAATGGGTCCTTTGTATTCACTGCCCGCATGTGTTATTTAAGCCGGGTTTGTAACCGTTTGTCTGTCTCTCCGACGTAGTTAGTTCCACAAGAGTTACTCTGGACCCGGTAGATGACACCTTCGTTTTACCTCGTGACAGGGGTCCGTCGGTCTCATAACTAAATGTCGAATGGTTGAGCCCGGTCGATGAGCCATCCCGATCCCCAAAGGTCTTAGGAGGCGGGAAACTGCCTCAGATACGCTGTCGATGTATGGCAATGCACGCCAGACTTTTGGCTGTTCTGGCACCCGATTTCGGCCTGGTTTAGACTGCCTGCTGCGCTCGTTGAAGTTACGGAGGTATCTGTTGGCCATGAAAGGGCGCTGAGGATAGCGAAGTTCTGTCCTTCGGGTTCTGTCATCGGGTTCGCTGCAGTGTGTTTCTGATCTACTGTAGAGAGTTCACATGCAGCTGCGTTTGTGACCTAACGGGCGTTTACTGTGATAACTAAGGATTTGGCGTGTGTTGGTAGCCTTCCTGTACACCGTCGTTTTTATGTGCCCGTTGGGTTTTCGATGAACAAGAACGTCCAGGAACGACAGCTGGTTGTTATTTTCCGCCTCCATCGTGAATTGCATGTCCGGAAAAACGGAATTTAGGACACTGTAAAATTCCTCCATCATTTCTCGTTTGATGATGACGAAGCTGTCGTCGACGTACCGAGTCCAAAACTTTGGCCTGTGAGTTATGAAAACCAGGCTCTATAGCTTTTGCAGAACTGCCTCAGCGATTAAGCCGGAGAGAGGCGATCCCATTGGTGTCCCCATAACCTGTTCGTACATGGTCCCCTCGAAGGTGAAGTACGACTTCAGGCAGAATTTTGGGAGTTGGACTACATGTCTCCGTTTCACTGACTCGTCCGCCTCGTTATACTGCCTCTCGAGCAATTTGCTGACCGTTTTGATGGCCTGGTCCTTGGGGATCGCCTCTTTTTCACACTTATGTCCGGGGACTCGAATCGTCGATTCTATTAATATATTTATATATATTGATTGAATAAATGCTTGATCTGCAGTGACAGAGAATGACAGGTGGCGAGGCACTGATGAACTTCAGTTCGATGAAATACTCATGACCCATCTGATAGACCCCAGTGGTGGACCAACTGCGCCAGATGCGTCTGTACGCATGTTTCTGTTTCTGGTCCCAGCTGCTGGTGGTTAGGGTTATGATTGGCTGAATGAAGGCACAATAAGCCTGAAACAGTACTGTATCAATCTACCCGCATTCTCCGTCGTCCCTCCTCGCTGATATCTATATATATATATATAATCATCTTCAAATTCATCATAACTTCGTAAAATCTTATGGACATGTCCTAAAATGAAATACATGCGTAGAAAAACACCTTAGCATATTCAATGGGAAGTCGCATTTTCAAAGCTTGAGCATTAAACAAGTGTCTATACGGATTTTAAAAGAACTTTCCAATAATTGCGCACTTTAAAAACATTTAAAGATATTCGTCCGCTGATCGTATTTGTCTCTAATTGACGATTGCTGTAGTAGTAAAACCTCACTTACGTACTCCTCTTTATAAGAGGACTAACTTTTCAGCGCACAGTGTATCCTGCGTGCACACATTGAATACCACCTACAGTTGTAAATGCCACCGTGCAACCGACGAATTTTTGTTTATTGTGGTAAAGTAAATAACCTTCGTACACGATGAGATGTTTATGCGAATCGTGTTGTCTGCCGGATGTATTCCAGACAATCGCAGGGGTTTCCCTGAACCTAAAAATAGACACCAAATTCAAGTGCCTGATGTAAGTGGCAGCGCCGATTCGTTCTGTTTACGCTCCACGTCTAGAGTCCGAACAAACAATCGATAGCAACGTGGGAACAGTAACCGAGGGGCGCTACCGACAAAGACGAGAGCAACTGAGATGGTTATTCATCGACCTTTGCGAAAAGACGTAAGCCAATCGTTCGATTGAGAGGGTAGTTCGCGCAAGAACGCCTGGCGCCCATTCCCCCTATCCTCAGCTTTAACATTAAGACTTACCTTGGCCCTATCTCTATCCCCAACCTCAATCCTGACCCTAAACTGCAGAAGCCAGTTCAAGGTCATCTATGATACGGGGTGCCTATTTTCGACCCCTAGCAATAGGTCATCAGTGTGCCAATGCTTGCCTGTTATTGCCATCCCACGCTAATATGATCAAGTCTAAAGAACGCAAAACTCCCTTCATTCTTTGACATTAAATTTAGTTCGCCTCTCAGTGCCTTCTTCGCTGTGTCGGTTATCTAATCAGAAGTCAGCTTTTAGACTTTTTTGAAATTTAGATTTCGTTTATAATTACATCCCTATAGCAAGTTTTGTTGGTAACAATCGGGAGATGACACCCAAAAAATCCGTTACCTAGAAATAATACCTTTAAGAGTGAACTCAAACGCCTTCAGGCTATATCAGCGGTTGCAGGCCTACTTGCACGCACTACTTGGACTTTTCCCGACGGCCTAACATGGACTGGCCGAACGAACATCGCAGGAGGTTACATAGACGATGCTCGCTGTTACCCAACCTTCCCCATCGTTACACACTTACACCTGAATATACGGCATACATTCGCATTATGATAATTTATAACAAAACGAAATCACTTTTAAATAGGATAAGTCTCCACAACAGTTCCCAGGCATCTGTCAAAGACATGGTATTTAGGCCAAACCAAAGACGATACTGTACTTCGTCTATGTGAGCCCACACAGCTCGACCACGTACAGGGCCTCCCTCATAGAGTTCCTTTTCAGTCTACTCCAGTATGCCTCAATGGAATTGGTGGGTCGTCCGGTGGTAGAGTCCGTGAAGCTCTTTGAGTGGTTAACAGAGAAAGGTGAAAACCTTCTGAGGGAAGACGATTATACGCCTTCCACTCGTCCGTTACAACTTTACTGCCTTTGGCGACCCATTTTGTAATAACGGAACGGAGAGCGGACCAACTTCAATCATTCACCTGTTCAAATAGGGCTTTCCGTCGGCTAATATCATACATCCCGACCAGCCACCATCCATAAGGCCCCTATTACCACCTGTCCCGTAAGAAAGGCTGCTTTGGTTAGGCGGATTTTTTGGGTGACATCTCCCGATTGTTACCGTTTTATTTTTCTAAGATGTGATCAGCAAAATGCTACAAAAGCAGTTTAGTTAACTTAATAGATCCTACATGCATGAATCACCCACGTCCATAGGTCGGGGCGTAATTGACAGAAAAACCCCTATTCTGTCCTCTAAAGTGTATAAATCTGCAGCCGATAGTCTGTGTTTTGACCCAAAATACAACGAATCTGTTTGCGTCAATGACGGTTTGGTAGTTAATTTAAGCTGGCTGCATGGACATGCTACCATGAAAGACCGTTACAAAGCCCAATGATTATCATAGTTTTTCATTAAAAACGGGCTTTATATAGGTCGCGGGAGCCTCGCAATGCAAGCTGTTTGTCAAAGAACCCGAACCACGACAGCGTAAACATTAAAACGCGGTAGGATAAAATTACTCTTATCCTGCCTAAACGATGAAATGATAAAGAATAATTTACCTTCAGTCAAGGACTGCTGGGGTCTCCATTTAGGCCTTGCATGTGTATGCAGAGATCTGATGCAGAGAGTGCTCTGCAAGCAACGCAGTAAGCACGTTTTTCGATTCATGTCACCTTATAAACCCTAATAGGGGTCGACAAGAGGCAGGACAAAACTTTAAAAAGTAGTAACACTTCTAATCGAGAAGCAAGTACGCATCTTACATATGTTATTACTGAGACCGTTTACCTGTCTCTTATCTTCGTCGACACTTCCTCCTGCGTATATAACTGCCCTTTATATGACGGCCTACAAGGATTCTAAATCATTGAACACACTCCCACCCATTAAACGACTATGTGTACTTGAATGTGAACATCTATATATAAGCATATATTTGCTGCACTCTCCTTGCATCTCAAGATGAGGCCGGTGTAGACACAGTCTGCCTCGCGGACACCAATACTACGCTCTCAAAGAAGGACAAATGCTACGTCGTCGGCTGGGGAGATTCCGGTGCAATTTCACCCTGTCCACCTAAGGGAATTCTACGTCGTCATCGTCTCGGCGGTCCGCGCGGGCTGTATGGAAGACATTACGCTTCATTTGGCTGTCGCCACAGCCGGTTTTTACGCCAGAGAAAAGCTGCTGGAATGGCTCCCAGTCTTGGGGAGGCCAAGGTGACACCAACATCGCCGAAAAAGTGCGCGCGATGGTCTTTGAATCCGGACAAGGAGCACCTTATCTGCGCTGGTGGAGTCGGCAAAGTGAGTAAACATGAGATTTTGACCAATTAAACGAGGAAGTCATCGGTTGAATTTCGGAAGAATGATTCAAACTGCGTACAATACGCACTGCTGCAACGTAAATGGAGCCAGTGAGATATCACACACCCAGCAGAAGACAAATGCATAGGGTTTGATGGTCCGCCTTACCTCAACTAATCTCTGTGTTTCCGGTGAACTCAACATGGTATCTAGTTTGCGGCCGCCACTAGTAAATCGGAGTAATCATGTGAGAATCATACAATTTCTCAAAGTGACGACGTTTTTTAAACCGGAATGAATCACTTCCTTCAGGGGTAAAATATACTGAAGAAGTGCTTTTCTGCAGGTTGGATATCTAAAAGGCATTATCCAGAGAAATAAATGCATCTAGACAACAAATGTTCACGTTAAAATTTGGTGCTGCATTGAAGGTCCTATGTTTTTCAACTCAGTTCCTGCTACAACATGCCGAAGAAGACTGCCAAATGAGACCAAAGTTCAGAAAATCGAAGCGAAGTTACAAATACAGTTATAACCAGGGCTTGATAAGCAAGCCAGGAATGATCAGTAGGGTTACAGGATTAACTTATAAACGCTTCATAAAACCTCTACTTAAAACGTTTCTCGGACTTATCACCAGTTCGAAAGGTACGATGACAAAAAACTCTTGGCGGAAGCCACATAAAAACACAAGTTCAATGCACAGATTAATCTGGTTGGCTTGCTCACAGAGTGAATTATTCAGCCGCATTGTGAGCCAAGTTTTAGAGGACCATGACAGATGTGTGCTACTACCGCAAGCATGCTCCGACTGTGCGACCCACAATTCGGCTTAATGAAGTCGACAGCTGTCCTATAGCAGGATTCCGATAGACAAGACTGGGGAAATAACGTGCCAGCCACCTGCTCCCTCCCCCGCCTCCCATCTTCTTGACTTTATATTAATACCGAGTCCAGGTGGGAAGTGGGGAAGAGAGAGCGCGGTTGGTGCTGCGCAAGTCGACTAGCATTACAAAATAGTTCGCGCGCAAGTTATCACGCTTGCTGCACTTGCTGCCTAGCACACGGTTGACATCGTTCGAATCGACGGTCGAACTGTCATCTTCCTGCAAGGGCTCTAAGGATTGTATGCGTGTGCTATGACATGGCTCTGCAAACCGTGACCCTCACAACCTGGTATGCGTTGGCAGACCTGTGGCACCTGGTTTCCTGCCGGTAGATGCGCTTGCGCTCCCGTTGGGTAAATAGGCCGTGTTAATGGTTACTCAGTGACCTATGTCCGTGTTTCCTCTTTCTGATCAGTTTCCGTTGTTTGTTGAAATCCTGACCAAGTCCTTGTTGTGGACCAGGGCGTGTGGTAGTATGGCTGAGGGCGAGTCTGGCGGTGCCAACCACCTGCGCTCTCTCCCGTCTTCGGTCGTCCTGACTATGTCTTGACATCGGGCGCAGGTGGGGAGGAGGAAAGAGTGCGGTAGATGCTGCGCAAGTTCACTCTCACTATAAACTAACTCACGCGTGAGTCACCGTACCTGCTCTCACTTTGCTGTGGAACAGACAGTGAACGTCGTCAGATGCGACGGCCGAATTTTCATGCTGCTGCGAGCGGCATTACGTCTGGGGTTGAGTAGGTATGACATCAAGATGGTGCTAGTTGTGGTTACGTGTTATCCGTCGAGAGAGCGTACAGGCTGCGAGGTGGGAATGAACGGCGCCAGGAGGCTTGGAGAGAGGGGAAACAAGAACACCACTGACAAGTCCCTGCTTGCTAAGTGATCCAAGTTAACGTTGGTCTGCCTGACTGCACAGTCGCGACCTCCGAATCACACTCACACACACCCAGGGTTCGGTAGAAAGCGTAACTTCAAGACTATTTCACTGAAGCTAAAAAGTCATCAGTAAGGCGAAAACATGTGTGCCAAATTTTAGAAGCAACAGCACCGACCGCCAACAATAACATAAATTGCACGGGAGAGGGCATGCTCGAAGGACACTGGGGAAAGTGCCGAAAACGAAAACGAGAATGGAAGAACCTAGGCCTCCAGAATGTCCTTCGCCGCAACCTCGGAGACCTGGGGTCAGACGTTTAATCATACTGGCCAAATGCGGATCCAAAGCGTTTCTCAAATGAAAGATCAAAGTCAGAAGACCTTTGCAGTTCGTACTAGTTAACAGTGAACAATGAAGAATGAGAAAATCACATGACGAATCTAAAGTTTCACTGGCGATTTCCAGGTCTATGAGCCAAAGACGGAAGTATGCTAGCCAGGTGCGCCGTGCTAGTCTCTGGGTGCACCGTTTCTTTTATTTTTTGGATGAAGTAAAGGAAGGAGAAGGGCATTTTAATATTTCATCCGTTTCATTCCAGTTTCAACCCAGAATAAAACTTCCTATTTACTGACGTCGACTGCAATACCCGACACTTAGTTAAAATCATCCTTGAGTTATGGGAGGATGAACAACTGCAGCATTGGCGGTAGTTGCCGGTTTTCGAGCATTAGCCATAAAACAATGCGCCTAGATGAGGTTATCAACTCAATCGAAAAAGATGACAAGTAGGAGTAAAATAGGCGTCCAACATTCTCATTATTTTGTCATTTATTTTCCAAAACAACGTTAGAATTCGTCAACAATTTCATGACTCAAGAGCAGGCCCACAGTAGGTCTCCGCGATTTCCATAGTCCTAAGTCAACTTAAATCCTTTTTTAATTTGTACCTTTACATTCCTTGTCGGATAATTCTGTAGGGAGGGGAAGGGGATTTGAACGTGAAACAAAATTGATACGTCTTCCTTTATCTCTGTTCCATTAGGCTGTTTGCACAAGTGTCAAGGGGAGCGGTCTCTACTGCCACAATGCAGAAACCGACCGTTGGTTCCTTCACGGAATTATCGGACATTACTGGGGTCATCGTTGTAGCGAATCCCATCGCCTCTTCAGTTCAGTTTCCAGCGTCGCCGCTTGGATCCACCAACACATTCGATAAACGATTTCATCTGTTTGCCGTACCGGAAAATCAAAAATGTACCAGCCCCTGCTTTTTCTCCACCAATGTATCCCATTTGAACAGCTTGTTCGTTTTAGCATTAAGTGATTGAATCTCTAGAAAAAAAATAATGCATGACTCTTTTTAAAGGGGTGTTTGGATTACGAAGGCGAAAGCTCGAGTTTCGGACGTACTTATAAGTGAGAAAGAAAGGTTGTCGAGCATCGGAGAACTTTATTGCTCTGAGCTTTCAAACCCGTGCAGGGGTCCATCATCAGGAAAGTAGCAGCACCAGGACAAGCGGCAGTTATGGTGTCCGTATGCCAATCCTCGGCCGACGCCGCAAGACTGGAGGTGACTGCGCAGGGCTCTGTACGCCGGCGCCAGATCGATGAACCGATTAACTGAGTTCTCATCCGAGACCCAGGCTTCAATCAAGTCTCGGCCTGTTTTGTTTCCGGCGTGGACGACTATTTTGGTGGCTGCGAATTATGTCTGATGGTCGTCTGTTGGCGGTGCCCGCCACGACTAGCCAATCTGATGGGTATTTATTGATGACGTAGCGCTTACAAGGGGCTGCGCTGCGGATTCACCGCGCCAAAAAGGAAGGTTGGACGGACTTGCAGCAATGATTAATCTGACTGCGCTGAGCACGAACGAACTTACAATTGTTGTCGTAAATCCGTGTAACGGGACGCAATGGACGTAGGCACACACGCCGCATCGGTCAATGCGCCAAACCCCAACAGCCGTTGGTTGGCAGGCCCCGACAGGCGACTGATGCATGGGAGAGTAAAGCAGGCTGACACTGAGGAATTCATCTGCATGGCAAAAAAGCACATTTCTCACAATAGTAAATCTTACGCATTTGGATGTACCACGGCGCGCTATGAGTCATACCTCGGACGGATTTCAATTGGGTGGACGACCTGGCACTTTTCGGGGTTGAGAAGGGGAGGTTATGTACACGCCGCGGCTGTCAGACCGTGTGTGGCACGCGTAGACGGGTCATTTAGCGCCCGCGGTTTTCTTGAAAGTTTCTTGCTACTGCTGCCAGTGAGTAGAGGGCTAGTAAATGTGGTAGATGCTGCGGAAAAATGCCCCAACGGGAGCTAATTAACGTGCAAGTCACCGTTTGTTGTGATCACTCTGTCAGACACACAGTGGAGGCAGTGACTTGCGACTGCCGAATTGCCGTAATCAAGATCCATAATATATTTAACCAAAAAACGGAATTCACAGCCAGTCAGTGGGATAAATACAGTAGGTGGGCTTACTCATGAAATGTCAACCGAAATTTCGACATGCGTTCCCGTTTCGAAAATAGTAATTACGTAGGGCTGTAAAACTAATCAACATGTGGTATGATTCTATAATGATCTAGTTACCTCAAGGTGTCTGTTTTCGAATGAACTTATTTCCGACTGCATACAAGAACGACACTCCGCAAAAAAATGACTACTTGAGTAGCATGCATTTTTCTAATTCATTTTCGATGTCCTTAAAAAGTTAATTATATTTCATGGAAAAACATGTAGAAAAACATTTATCCTTTTACTTATTTGGTAGAAAATCACGCCTCCTTCCGATTTTATACTCAAAGGAAGAATATAATTCGGTTTAAAAACCTTTTCTAATTTTCGAATAATTTTGAATCCGACCTGCTGTTACACTTACATTCAGGTTTCCTAAACTACAAGTCGTATATTTTTCTCGTACGCAAATCCATGCATTTCTCAACTGTATTAAGAGGAGACCACATGGGGTCCATAAAATTAAGCAGTGGATTTGAGCAATATTGTAAACCTTACAAGCCACATTCGTAAATGCAGATACATGAATTTTTATGAACGGCTATTCCACGGTATTAAAACATCCCAAAATTAGAATGTTTTTGAGACCAAATTATACCCTTTTAAGAGTAAAAAATCGGAGGAAGGCGTGATTTTCTACCGAATAAGTAAAAGAATGAATATTTTTATGCATGTTTTCCATGAAATATCATTGAATTTTTAAGGGCATGGAAAATCGATGATAAAAAATGCAATCCACTTGATTGGTTATTTTTTGCGGAGTGTAGTTCTTGCATACAGTCAGAAAAGAGTTCATTCGAAAGCCTACACCCTGAGGTAACTGGGTTATTTTAAAATTATGTTGCAAGATGATTAGTTATACAACTATTCTTAATTAGTCTTTTCGAACCTAGGACGCATTTCGAGATTTTGGTTGATATTTCATAAGTTAGTCCACCCTCGGTAATTGAACAGTTGTCTGTTTGCATTGTCAAATGCGCCCTAAGAGTAAATGCGTGCCCCAAGTTTTGGACGAGTGTTTGTTGGGTGTTCGTTAATTTAACGCTCAAAACACTGAACCAGAGGCCAGTTGTCCTTCGATTTCAATTGGTAATATTGACTTATGTTGGAAGTGCGTTCACCAATCGGGTTTTGTGGGTTTGCATTCTCTTCGGTTTCGTCCAGTCAACTGTGGTTTCAAGAATCTATCCGTACACTGCTAGGTGTTCGAATAAACAGCCTAAGGGCAAGAAGACAATCGAAGTTCCCACGGTTGGGCGGAAGCCCTACATAGCCTGCGTGAACTGGTCCCCACGGTGGTGTATGTGGTATTGGTTGGACCAAAAAGTGGATTTTTCGGCTGAGGAATTCGGAAGATCTCAGGAGATACCAGGCCTCCCATGGCCAGCCGAATCTTCTAGCCTCGATCTAAAAGAAAGTATTTCAGATTACCTTTATTGGGTGATTCTCAAGACCATAGAACTTTATACGTCTTTCCAATTCAGATTTGCTCTTGTGAATGGCAGGAGCATGGCAAAGCAAAAAAATCTCGTGTTTCATCGATACTACCCAAATGTTCATAATGCCTAACATTCTACATAAATGGCTTTATTCGCCTGACGTTTCGGATTCTCAGCATCCGAGAACGTCAGAATCCGAAACGTCAGGCGAATAAAGTCATTGTTCCAGCGATCGCTTCTTCTTCTGATCAACTAGTTCCTGGAACTCGCATTTTCGCTTGTATCGGCAATTCTACATAAAGTTAGATTCCCATGATGTTAATAAGTAATGTAATATCTCTCCTTTACTTCTGTTAAATTTAATTTGAGTCAGGTGTATAAAAAGTGAGCTGAATGGCAAATGTACTTGCTCTCTTCCATTGATTTAAGGCTGTAAAACGAGGGTTCATTTTGACCACCTGTATTTGACTGAATACCGGCAATGAAGAAGAATTCTAAACCAAGAAAAACTCCTACCGATAGGGCGAGGTGGCTTTCCGTTTTAACAGAATGTTCTGATCGAATCATATCCTCCTAATGGGTGAATATCTTCATAGAAACCACTGACAGAGGACTCTGACCGAACCGAACTGGCATTATTTCATCAAATGAAATTCTAAAGTACACATAATTGTACAGTCTTCCAAGGTAAATTCGCATCCTGCGACCTGTGCTTTTGGTCCAATCAAAGATTTGTATTTATTGTCAATGCTTAATGGAGTTTGTCGAATAGACGCGCGACCCTTGTCGTGGTTGAGTTATGTCTCGACCCCATTCTGTCCCCTCAGAAGCTGAGCGGTCGGCCGTAAAGAATGTTGTTTCAAATGGCACGTGACACGTGCACTGAGAGCGATTGTTAAGGTAGCAATACGCCAGGTGCAAACAGGTGTTTCACGGTCATTGCTGATGGTCAGCATGCCATAGACCAGATAGATGGATGTTCACCAATCGCAATGCAGGGCACACGCGTTTCTCTTTGTGTCTTGGGACTTAATCTCCGGCCCCGCCAGCATCCGCACAGCGGCTAGTAGTAAATACTGACGTGATAACGGCACCAACAAGGACAAAGGAGACTGGAATGGCCATTTCCCGCTTATTAGCGTTCATCAGCCAACCAGACCCAACTCCAGGTTTTGCGACCCCTGCGGCTCGATACCGCGACCTGTCTGCTGAAATCCAATGGCCCGACCGCTGAACCACGGGTTTGTTGTCCTGCAGGTTGCGACCGGGTATATACAATGGTAGAGGGGAGCGATTAGTGAGCTCCCGCTAACATTGTTTCATAACCTGATGACCGATGATGATTGATAAGACAGAAATGGCCTTTTCGGTCTCCGCTGTCTTTTTCGACAATGTTATTCCGCATGTTTCGCGCCTTTTTAAGTGAGAGATAGAAAATTGTCATTTGGGCGCATTTTGGTTCTTGTTAGCACTTAGCAACTCATCACAGATTCTTCCCCACGGTGATATGGCCCTACACAATGCACAAATCAGTTCTTTCGGAAGTATCATGCTCGTTCGGGCTAGTAAAAATACTAACACTAGATCACTTAACATGACAAAAATCAGCAGTCGGTTAAATAACGGTTGAACGTCTTGGTGCGTCTGCTTATGTAACAGAAAATCGACTGCAAACTGTTAAACTCCTTTAATGCATATAAATCCCTTGCTAGAGCGCGCCATGGTGACAATAACAGAAAAAAGTGGTGTGGTCAGTTTCAGTAGAACTCCAGTTAAAATACAGTTTCGTGGTCACACAATCCACGTCTGCATAAAAGTATAAAATAAGTTTTTTCACTAAGCATACTTCAGAAATAATTAAGCAGTTAATACAGTTTGCCTCAGGGAGCATTTGTTCTCCTAGAGACATGAAAACAGTTAAGCCTCGTTACATAAACCCCATTAATCGCTTTTGATTGGACGCCACGAAGGCCCGACCGTTGAAAGAAACGACGACCAGGATTGAGTGTTTTTGCTTTCGAGTCTCACATTACTCAATTGCATCTACATCGTCCTTTTCCGAAAATCACGCTAAAATGATCAAAGGCTATAGCGGAGAAGGAATGGAATAGTCAGGCCTTCGGTGTGTTTAGAGAACTATGTGACCTTTAGGCAATTAAAAGTGGCGCTCCTACAGCTGACTAGCGCAGCGCCGCAGCTGCGATTCCCCTGCAAGTCGTTGAAACGATTTCGCAATACTACAAGAGGG